CACAATCCCCGTTCAGGCCTTTTTTTCTAGTTGGAAACAGTTCAGGACTGGCTGTGGCTGTTTGGTTTTAATTGGAAACTGTGTTTCTAAACTTTGAGGAGATCTGTGCGCATGTGTAATAGAACCCTGCGAGGGTGGGGCTATGCTGCCCACTAGCTCAGGCACTCCCACAGTCACCAGAATGAAGGTGCACAGACAGCAAGGGACCAATGAACAGCTAACAAAAGAAAAGAATGTCCACACCTTTATCTCAGCAGTTCTGCCAGGCGTCTGTGGCCGCTCCAATCCTTCCCTCACATGGTCTCACCCAAGATGGCGGCTCCTGGAGCCGGACTAGAGAGCAATAGAGTTCTTGCTTCTGCCATAAATTCTCTAAGCTGTGAGCCTTCCAACCTTCTAAATATTCCTTTATATGTGGTTCAGAGTTCTGGGACCATCCCCTGAGCCTGCTTGGTTGGGTGTTCTGTGTTGTTGTTGGCGGAGCTCCTTTACTGCACTTCCACCTGATCCGCCATGTTGTTTGTTCTCCTCTGTTATCATCGTGACCCTATGCACAACAGTAGGAAACACTGCCTGTTATTTTGCCATCCTCACAGTCATTGTTACACTTGTACCTACTACTGCTACCAATGTGCCTATCCATCTTGTAGGGAGGCTTCCTGTTTTTTGCTGACCCTTTACTTTACCAAGCATGGTGCCCCTCTCTGGGGACTAGTTCCTTCTGATCACATGTCCCAAGTATGAGAGACAAAGTCTGACCATCTTGGCTTCTAAGGAGCATTACGGCTGTCCTTCTTCTACAACAGATTGGTTTGTTTTGGCAGTCCATGGTACCTTTAATATTCTCCTCCAACACCAGAACTCAAATTCATCAATTCTTCTATGGTTTCATTATTCATTGTCCAAATTTTACAGGCATATTAAGCTATTGAAAATGCAGTGGTTTAGGTCTGGTACAGCTTAGTCCTCACTCTGCTGCTATCTTTGCTCTTGAACACTGTAGAGGTCTTGTGCAGCAGGTTTACCTCATGCAGGACATCGTTTGATTTCTTGACTGCTGCATCCAGGAGTGCTGTTATGGACCTCAGCAGACTGAAGTCTTTGATGATGTCAATCGCTCTCCATATTATCAAGATTTGTGAGGATTTTGTTTTCTTTACATACTGAAAACTGTAGTTTTTGATCTTTATCAGTAACTACTTTAAGTCCTCTTTGCTTTTGGCAAGCAAGGTTGTATCATCTGCATATCACAGCTTATTAATGAGGCTTTTCCCGATCCTGATGAGCACATTCTTCGTCATATAATCCAGTGTCTCAAATCAATTTTTCAGCTTTCAAGACTGCCTCTTGGTCTATGTACAAGTTTCTCATGACCACAGTTGAATACCCATTCTTTGCAATGTTATGCGTTGCTTGTCATAATCCATACAGTCAAAAGCCTGTGTGCAGTCAGTAAAGCACAGATAAACATCTCTGCTTTCAGGCAGGATCCATCTGATAATAGCTTTTCATGTGTGACAACTTCTAGTTTTTTCTAGCTTCATGATTCTTGTGTTTACATGTTCTGATTATAAATGGATGTTTGCAGCTATTTCTTCCCATTTTTAATTGTATCCCATCAGCATTGGAAGGTCCTAACAGCTTTTATCCCAGCCTGTGGTGTTCTGGCCATGCTCTGCTGCTATCTATAGGGGTTTCAGTGGTTCAACATTCTAATGTGGACTCCTTCTCCTTTTCCTAGCATGTCTTAGTCTAGAAACTCCACTGAAACCTGTCTACCATGGGTGACCTGTTGGTATTTAATAAAATACTGGTGGCATAGCTTCCAGCATCACAACAACATCGAAGCCACCTCAGTATGACAAACTGACAGATAAGTGTTGGCGAAATCAAACTGGCCACAGGTAGAAATTGTGATTGGGTGTATGTATATTTTCACCAAAAATATAAAAGATTAATAACCTCTTCTTGATGCGCCATTATTATTATATGTATTATTTTTACATTATAGTTTTATTGTCTTGATTTTTTTCTAATTTGCCTATCAGCCTTCTCTCTTTCTGCTTGTCACTTCATTCACATTTTACCAAATAGTCCTTCTTTTTCACATAATAACTATAGCTTGCCAGGTACACTTTCTTTAAACAGAAACAGTGTTTTACCAAATAGCATAATTTGTAGGTTTAAATTTTTTGTTATTTGAGTAATTTAAACTCCATAATGAATATTTATTGAATGAATGAGAGATCATCAAAGGCATTTCTCACATCTAGTGCCAAAATGTGGTGGTGGGTGTTAGGTGCGGTCGAGTCGGCTAATGAAATCCTATTTTTCAGTTGCCCGCCTCACTCTTTTAGAGGCTGATTTACAGAGTATCGCCATCACCTTTCCACACTGTATTTTCTTAAAATGTGTTCATTCTCTTTCAGTCATCCACATTGTGACTTGAGGTGTGAATTCAAGGACAGTCTTTCAGAAGATTCTATTTGTCCTGTCTCATCTTCAAGTAAACAATTTATACACTGAAGGACTCTAAGAATTAACAGAGCTTTTCAAGGTTGATTGGTCTAATTTCGACAATAAAAAGTCCAAATTTTTTGTCCTACATTGTAAATGTCTTTTCCTATTTCATTTAATTTTCAGAATAATTGAAGTAAATCAAAATCAAAAGCAGGTGGAGCAGGATATCAAAGTTGCTATATTTACACTAATGGTGGAAATAAATAAAAAAGGGAAAGCCCTGTTGCATCAACTAGAGGTAAGTCCTGGGATGCATCCACATAGTAGTGGTTTGTGCATTTGTGATTTTGAAATCAGAGCCTTTACAACTTCCAAATGTTCATATTCTCCTTATACCCTTACAGCCCATTCATTTCCCAGGTATGTTTGTTCCTGTGCATGATTCAGGACTGTTTCCTCCCGTTGTCCCAGGGTTTGAGTGCTCTGGAGATGTGCTGCTCCGGTTTCTTACTAGCTGTTATAGAGCATGCTGCCTGTCTTATTTGAGGCCCTCTGTGAATGTTGGAATGAACCATTCCAGAAATTCATGGAAGTTTTACAACTTTTTCATCAGCAAAAGGCTGTCGTTGAGCATGTTTCTAGAAAGCTACATCGACAGTTTAGCTACTCTTAGTTCTCTAATGAAAGGGAAAATCAAAAACCATCACTACAAAATCGCAGACATCTTTATTAAGGTAAAATATTAAAATGTGAAGCCGTGGTTCTCAGCAGGTCCATCTAAGTGTAAACATTTCTGAGGGTAGTGGTTCCATCTCTCCATCCTTTCCCAAAGAATTCTCTGCTGTTTGACAAGGACCACAGTCAACATGCAGATGAAAAGAAATCTGAAGCAGCAGGATCAGAATTGTAGGGTGGAAGGGCTCAGGTTTCCCGATGAATTCTTATTGGACTTCTATAGGATAGTTTGTAATTATGCTACATAGATATTCCACTTGTTGTTGCTAAGTGCTCTCGAGTCGGTTCCAACTCAAAGCGACCCTCTCCTTTATAGACTTTTCCAAGGAGTGTCTGGTGGACTGGAACTGCTGACCTTGAGTTGGAATCAACTCGACGGCACTTAACAACAATAATGCATAATATTTACTGATGAAACTCAAAGACCGCAGCTTCCAGTATGAATTGCATCTCATTGTTGAAAACATAAAGAAATTGTAGCTTAACATGAAATATTTAAGCATTAGTTTAAAGTCGCCTAGAGTCCTGGTATGGTACTATAAGTTAAGTACTCGATCACAAGGTCGTCTCCAGTTCAAACTCACCAGCCGCTCCTCGGAATCCCTAAGCAGGATCAGGTCACTAAGGTGTGAACTGACTCTATGGCATTCAATAACAGCAGTGGACTTAATTAAGTAGTTCAACCTCTTTGCTTTATAACATCTCTCCAGACGTTTTATCTCTTCTTCATGAAACACGTGGTAGTTCTAAGTGTACCCAGGGCTTGCAGCCATTTGAGAAACAGAGATGGGAATAATGCTGTGTTCCTGTAGAAGCATGGAGCCCTGGTGGCACTGGGGACTATGCATTGGGCTATTAATCCCAAGGTTGCTGGTTCAAACTTACCAGCTGCTTGGCAAAAAACAGGAAACTATCTGCTTCCATAAACATTTACAGTGCTGGAAGTCCTCTGTAGGGTTTTTCAGAGTTGGAATCTACTTGATGGCATTGGGTTTGTTTATTTTTGTGGAAACAAAGATTTGCTTAGTGAGGAAGTTTTCTGCTAAGAAGTGTTAGACTCTACTTAAGTAACTCATATTTCAGGGATGTATGATTTTTTTTTCCGCCAGTAAAAACGTTGAAACAGGATGTTAAATGTTTTCTAGGCTCTGCTAACAATGCCACATTGTGCTTTGCCTTCGGAGAGACAAACAGTGCATACTGTAATGGGGCTGTTTCTGTGTTTGAACCTGACTCTCCACGAGAGACACGTGAAGAGGTTTTAAAAAGAGAAGCGAAAAAATGAGTCATCAGAGCCTAGCATCTTTAGATGTGAACTTGGTTGTTGTTGTTGTTAAGTGCCATCGAGTTGGTTCTGACCCATAGTGACCCTGTATCGGGTTTTCAAGGAGTGACTGGTGAGCTTGGGCTGTTGACTTTGCGCTCCAAACCTATTTTGCAGTCTAGCGCATTAATCCGCAGTGCCATAACAGGACTCCATGAACTTGGTAGTCTTACGCTTTTTAATAAGCCTTGTTATTGTTGTTAAGTGCTGTCGAGTCTGTTCTGACTCATAGTGACCCTGTATAGGGATTCTGAGCAGTGGTTGGACAGTTTGAACCGCCAAACCACCAGGACTCCTAATAAGCCTTGTTGATGTATACTTTTCACTCTGCCTTTTAAATCTGCCTCTCTATGCCTCAAGCTATTTCTTCTGATTCACAAAGTCCTCTTTTCAGGTAATCATTTTATCTGTTAAGAATCAAGAAAACAGCTCAAATAGTTGTTACCACTCAAGACCAAGAAACTACAGCTTACGGTTCTCAATATGTACCCTTCCCAAAGCTAACAGAATTTCTGTTCTTTCTTGACCATGTCCAAAAAAAATTTATTTATTTTGCTTGTGTGAAATTGAGTTTATTTTCTTATTCCTATAGGTCAGTTTTTACATTAGGCCACCAGTACTAGTTTTTCTTTTCTGCTCTCTGGCCTGTTTCCCTGTGCTTAAACCAGTCCTTCAAACTAGTTTTAAACAGTTTAGTCAACAGTTGGCTGCCAGCTTTGAGTGTCTTCTGAACACTAACACACAGTCCCACTGTCATTGAATCAGTTCGAACTCATAGTGATCCTAGAAGACAGCATAGAATTAGGTTTGCAAGGCTGTAAACAGGTTGACTTATGTTTCTTCTGGGGAGCGAGCAGCTGGTAGATTCGAACTGCCAATCTTTAGGTTAAACGCCCAGTGCTTAACCTGTGGCATGGCGCCACCGGGGCTCCTTTGCTTGTCTCCTATACAGTTCAAAATTCCACTGCAAGATATTTGGCTTCTGTGTCACATGTACTGTATGTGGGCTGTGAGTGAATTAAGCCCTGCCTGAAATAGATGGGAATTGTGGAGTCAGTCCAGTGCGGTCCACATGAGACACAGCCTCTTGACAGAGTGTGGGCCACAGCTTATTAGGTGCCAGAACAGAGTCCTTTCGAGGTTTTCGGGGTTTCGTTTTAGGTGTAGGGAAAAGTTGTAGGAAGCACAAGAGTTCCCGTGGGTTGTCCTCTCACACACAGTGTCTCATTCTGTGTATGTTTACATCCTGCATTCCTGGGGTATACAGTAGCGAAGCTTGATGAACCAACGTGGCTAGGTTCTTTTTAACCTGATTTCTTAGTTTAAGATTCACTCCGTGTTGTACATTTCTGTGGGGTTTGAGAAACACATCATCGCGCATGTCCAGTGCCACAGTGTCATGTAGCATAGTTCCACCGCTCTGAGAATGTCCTGTGTTTCCCACCTGTTCACCCTTCCCCACTTGTTGGGCAACCACAGATCCTTTCACGGTCTCCGTGCTTTACCTTTTCCCAGTGTCAGAAGTCAGCATCATGCAGTTTATATAACGTTTTCAGCACTCCCTATTACAGAGGCCAGAAATAGGTGAGGCATCTTCTCTCTGAACAGAAATGAGCTAAGACAGAGCCACTGATAATTACCAGCACCTTCACTAGGCAGACTCACTGCCCTACTGCCCACTCCCTCACCTTTGTAAAGGTGTGGTTTCCACATTGGGCATCCGTAATGGGGTTCAGCATTTTACTTAGAAACTTTCCTAAGTTGTCTGAGTCCATTGAAAGCCCTGTTGATTCTCATGTTGTTGTTGTTGTGAAGTGCTGTCAAGTCGATTCCGACTCATAGCGACCCTGTATGGGGTTTCTAAGGGGCAGCTGGTAAGTTTGAACCGCTAACTTTGCAGTTCAAATGGCTTTGCAGTCTGGCACATTAACCCACAGCACCACCCCAGGAACTCCATTAACTCTCATAGATGGTGTTAATATGGTGCCTTTTTTGCTTTGTCCAATAGTGCAGTGTTCTCTACCACAGGGCATGACTTTTACAAAGGGCACAAACTGCTTATAATGGGAACTAGAAGGCCTAAAAGGTGGACCTATGTGATCAAGTAAGTCATGTGATTTGATAGTGTTATTATGGGATGGTGGTGGTTATTCTACTTCAGAAATCTGAAAATGACAAAATGTAAGTCATGTGTGTACACTAATTTTGAGAATTTCTTCTTCTTTTCAGAGTCTTGCAAAGGACCATCGCATGAAGCTCATGCAACAGCAGCAGGAAGTGGCTGGACTTTCTAAACAGTTGGAACATGTCATGCATTTCTCTAAGTGGGCCGTTTCCAGTGGTAGCAGCACGGCGTTGCTTTATAGCAAGCGCCTGGTAAGACAGACCCGTGACAGGGTAGAGTGGTGGAGTCAGTGACATGCGCAGAGTTCACAATTGTACTTTTAATCGTTTCATTCGGTGTTTAAATACCTTTTATCTGTTTCTAATGCTAATAGGTCCGAGTATTTTGGTCTAAAAATAATATTTTTAACTCACATGATACAGGGGTGACTTCAATTTTAGTCTGCCTTGTTTTGTGTTCTCTGCATTATCACTTGGTCTTAGTGACAGTTGAACTTATTATTGTCACTGAACTTACCACCCACAGCAATGGTGAGAGTCGTCATTACTTGTAGTGCAACTGTCCATTTCCAATGTACAACTGATGAAACTAAGGCCCAGAGGTAACATGCCTAAGGCCAAACAGTGAGAATGATAGCCAGGTTTAAACTTGACATCTAACGTAGAGGCTCTCGCCAGCTCTGTATAACTGACGCTGGACAAGAGTCGTGATTCTGTGCTTTGGTGTACTGCTCTGCTTATATGTCACTAGCTCATTAGGTCTGGGGTGTGGCTAGGCTTCTAACAAGCTTCCAGATGCTGCTGATTCTGCTGCTCTGCATAGCAGACTTGGAGGAAGAAGACTCAAGCTTAGTTAGCCTTTGGAAATCAGCCCTGTAAGCAGCCGTAAAACTTTTATGATTACCATCCATTATATTCATTAGATTCAACAGGGATTTACCTCTGATATCAAATCAAGACAATCAGATCCATTTTCTGTTGCTGTTGTGTGATCACTGAGTCAGTTCCAACTCAAAACGACCCTGTATATGGTTTCTAAGGTTGTAAATCTTCATGAACTTGAGGAAAGATTGTTGGATTTGAACTGCTGACCGTGTGGTTAGCAGCCCAACACATAATCTCCTATGCCAGCAGTGCCCCTTAGTTTTCTCTTGTTATTGTTAAGTGTTGACTGAGTCAGTTCCAACCCATGGCAACCCGATATAGGGTTTCCCATGAATGGCTGGTGAGCTTGAATTGCCAACCTTCCGGTTCAAATTGACTTTGTAGGTCCAACGCATTAGCCTACAACTCACACCAGGAGTCTGTTTTCTGTTACCTACTTTGGTGCGGCCCTGTGGGCCAATGGGCTGTATTGCAAGATCGGTTTAAACAGCAAGGTCAGTGGTGCAAGCTCACCAGCTGCTCCTTGGAACCCTATATAGGGTCACTGTGGGTCAGAACCGACTTAATGATACACAACAACTCTAAATTTTTTTTTTTTTTTAAGTTTTTGTGTTTACATGAGAGAACATCAGTTTTACACTCATCGTTTCATTGCAATGACTACAATCTCCTCTGTGCATCATCATTCAACAGGATTTGCTTCTATTCCTATGGGTTTTTTTGGGATGGGGGGTGGTACACAAAAACACTCAGGAAAGTATAATAATATAAACAACCAAAGGGCACACTCTACAAGCCTGCTTCCTGGTCACCAGCACTCAGTTTTTCTCTTTTCGTGAGTCTTGAGTCCTCAGCTGCTCTCTCTCTCTAGGTCCTCGTCTCTGCTTCCCTCTCTGGTGTTGCTACTTCTCTGGATAGGATCCCACATTCCGGTCATGCTCTTCTTGCATGATGGTCCTAGGGTCCTCTGTTCCTGGACTGGAAGACTTAACTACTCCCCCATTTTTGTTACAAAACTTCTACCTTTACAGTTTTAACAGTCACAATTAGTCATGATAACAGTACTCACTATTGAATCATAAGAATCGTATCCCTGTCTCTTTTCACCACACCCGCTAGACAAGGTGTAAACTATTCAGTGAGGACTCTACCTTTCCCCGCACACTCTTAAACTAAACTCCCTCTTGATAACTTGTAAGCCAGTCGCTCCATGCCTTTATCACCCCCTCATTTTAAGTAGCCAGTGTCTAAGTTGCCTGTCCCTGTCAGCCCTGTATACAGAAGAGATAGGCTTGATACTTGTTGTGAAGACTCCTTCCCTCTCAATTGGTATTTTGAGATACTACATCAATAAGGTATAGTTCAAGTTCATCATATTGTAGCAATTTACTCTTGTTTACTTTACCAAAAAAATTTTTTTATCTTCCTTTAGTTGAGTTCTGATCATCAAGCTCTCAAGGCTAGGTCAAATGGGTATTATCTGTAAGTTTGAGCATCCTTGTGCATCACCTCTCACTTCATATCAGCTGAGCGCTTCACTCTCAACTCTACACCTCTGTAGGTATGTCCTTGTCCATGGGCTCAGGTGTCCCCAGGTCTCACTGCACTTTGGACCAACCATCCCTTCCTCTTCTCTCTCTTATCTCCAGGTCAACAGTCGTCTATGGAATGTAGTTTAACTCAGCCCATTTCTTCATTGCTGCCTTTCCCCCTTTTCTACTCACCAGTAGATCAGTGTGGTCATCAGCAAGCTTGCCTGCCTACTCATGTGTTCCCTTTGAGTTTCAGTCTTGGACAACTCTTAATTTTTAATATTAATGTTCAAGTTTACCCACAACCATCAAACCCAGTGATGAAGACGTTAAGGAATTCTACCAACTTGTATTTAAGCATTAATACTAAATATTAGAGTAGAAAACTTCTATTAGGAGCTTTGGTAGTGTTGTTGTTGTTATTGTTAGGTGCTATTGAGTTGGTATCAACTCATAGAGACATTATGCACAACAGAATGAAGCACTGCCCAATCCTGGATCAACCTCACAATTGTTGCCATGCTGGAGCCCATCGATGCTGCCACTGTCCCAATCCATCTCGCTGGCAGTCTTCCTCTTTTTCTCTGACCCTCCACCTTACCAAACACGATATCCTTCTCCAGTGATTGGTCCCTCCTGACAATATGTCTGAAGTATGAGAGACGAAGTTTGGCCATCCTGGCCTCCAAGGCGCACTCTGACTGCACTTCTTCCAACATAGTTCTTTTGGCAGCCCATGGCACTTTCAGTATTCTCCTCCAACACCATAACTCAGAAGCATCAATTCTTCTTCGGTCTTCCTTATTCACTGTCCATCTTTTGCATGCAAGTGAGGTTATTGAAAACACCATGGCTTGGGTCACCTTAGTCCTCAAGCTGACATCTTTGCTCTTCAACACTTTAAAAAGATCTTGTGCAGCAGATTTGCCTAATGCAGTATGTCGTTTGATTTCTTGATTTCTGCTTCCATGAGTGTTGGTAGTTGATCCAAGAACAAAGTCCTTGGCAACGTCAATCTTTTCTCCATTGATAACAATGTTGTTTATTGGTCCAGTGGTGAGGATTTTTGTTTTACATTGAGATGCAATCCATACCCAAGACTGTGGTCTTTGATCTTCATCAGTAAGTATTTTAAGTCCTCTTCACTTTCAGCAAGAGAGGTTGTATCATCTGCATATCGCAGGTTGTTAGTGAGTCTTCCTCCAATCCTGATGCCACATTTTTCTTCAGAGAATTTAGCTTCTCGGATTACTGGTTCAGCATGCAGGTTGAATAAGTGTGGTTAAAGAATACAACCCTGTCGCACACCTTTCTTAATTTTAAACCATTCAGTGTTCCCATGTTCTGTTCGAACTACTGCCTCTTGGTCCAGGTACAGATTCATGAGCACAATTAAGTGTTCCGGAATACTCATACTTCACAATGTTGTCCATAGCTTGTCACGATCCACACGATAGAAAGCCTTTGCGTAGTCAATAAAGCACAGGTAAACATCTTTCTGGTATTCTCTGCTTTCAGCCAAGATCCATGGGACATCAACAATGATATCCTTCATTCCACGGCCTCTTCTGAATCCAGCTTGAGCCTTTGGAAGTTCTCCGTCAAAGTATTCATGCAGCGGTTTCTGTATTACCTTTAGTATAATTTTGCTTGAGTGGGATATCAAAGAGATTGTCCGATGATTTCCACATTCCATTGGGTCACCTCTCTTTGGAATGGGCACAAATACAGATGTCTTCCAATCAATCGGCCAGAGAGTCGTCTTCCAAATTTCTTGGCAGAGATGAGTGAGTGCCTCCTGTGCGGCCTCACCTTCTTGAAAGATTTCAATTTTCATTCCATCAATTCCTGGTGCCTTGTTCTTTGCCAATTCCTTCAATGCATCTTGGACTTCTTCCTTCAGTATCATTGGCTCTTGATCCTATGCTACCTCTTCAAACGGTTGAACATCAACCATTTCCTTTTGGTACAGTGACTGTGTATTTCTTCCTTCCTTCTTTTGATGCTTTTTGTATCATCCAATAATTTACCCAGAGAATCATTCAATCATGAAAGTTGAGGCTTGAAGTTTTACTTCAGTTCTCCCAGCTTGAGAATTGCTGAGTGTGTTCTTCCTTTTTGGTTTCCTGGCTCCAGATCTTTGCACATTTTGTTGTAATATTTGGCTTTATCTTCTCAAGCTAATTTTTGAAATTTTCTGTTCAGCTCTTGTACCTCCTGATTTCTTCCATTTGCTTTAGCATCACTGCTGTAGAGCAAGTTTTAGTGTCTCTTCTGACATCCATTTTGACCTTTTCCTCTTTCTTGTCTTCTTAATGACTTTTTGCTTTCTTCCTGCATGATGTTGTTAATTTCATCCCACAGCTCTTCTGGTCTTTGATCTTTAGTGTTTAATGTGTCAAATCTGTTCTTAAGATGATCTCTAAGTTCAGGTGGGACATATTCAAGGTCATATTTTGTGTCTCATGGACTTGTTTTTATTTTTTTTCAGCTTCAGTTTGAATTTGCCTATGAGCAATTGATCGTCTGTTCCACAATTTGCCCCTGGCCTTGTTTTAACTGATAATAAGGAGCTCTGGTAGCGTAGTGGTTATGAATCGGGCTGCTAACCTCAGGGTCAGCAGTTCAAAACTGCCAGGTGTTACATGGGAGAAAGATGAGGTATTCTGCTCCTGTAAAGATTTACAGCCTCAGAGACCATGTACCAGAGTCATTATGGGTCGGAACTGACTCCACAGCACATAACAACAACAACAATGGAGCTTTTCCATTATCTCTTTTCTTAGATGTAGTTAATTTGACTTCTGTGTATTCAGTCTGGGGAGGTCCATGTTTATAGTTGTCTCTTATGATTTCTAAAGAAGGTATTAGAAATGAACAAATTATTGATATTGTAGAATTCTATCATGCAATCTCCAGAATCATTTCTATCACCAGTGCCATATTTTTCAACTACTGATCCTTCCTCTTTGTTCCCAACCTTTGCATTCCATTCACCAGTAATGATCAATACATCTTGATTGCATGTTTGATCAATTTCAGATTGAAAAAGTTGATAGAATTCTTCTATTTCATCCTCACTGGCTTCAGTGGTGGTGCGTAAATTCGAGTAATAGTGCTATTAACTGGGCTTCCCTGTAGGTGCATGGATATTTTCGTATCACGTATAGCATTGTACCTCATGACTGATCTGCTTGTTCTTTTGGACAATGAATACAATACCATTTCTCTTCAATTTGTCATTCCTGGCATAGTTAAACCATGTGGTTATCAGATTCAAAATGGCCAATACCAGTCCATTTCAGCTCACTAATGACTATGATATCAATGTTTATGCATTCCATTTCATTTTTGACAATTTCTAATTTTCCTAGATTCATGCTAAGTACATTCCATGTTCCGATTATTAATGGAAGTTTACAGCCATTTCTCTTCATTTTGAGTTGTGCCCCATCCGCAAATGAAGGTCCTGCGGGCTTTACTTCTTTCACACCATCTCTGTTAACTCTATTTTGAGGAGGCAGCTCTTCCCCAGTTCCATTTTGAGTGCCTTCCAACCTGAGGGGCTCATTTTCCGGCACTATATCTGACAGTGTTTCTCTGCTATTCATAAGGTTTTCAGTGACTAAATATTCAGAAGTAGTTATTCTCTCCTTCTTCCTAGTCTGTCTTCGTCTGGAAGCTCATCTGATACCTGTCCACCGTGGGTGACCCTGCTGATATTTAATATACCTGTGGCATAGCTTTCAGAATCATAGCGACTCACAAGTCACCACAGCATGACAAACTGACAGACAAGCAGTGGTTTGGTCGTATAGTGTTTATAAATTGGACTGCTAACTTCAAGGTCAGCAGTTCAAAAGTAACCAGCCATTCCATGGGAGAAGGATGATTGATGCTTTCTGTTTTCTTAAAGATTTACAGCCTCAGAAATGCTTTTCAGGGTTTTTATGAGTTGAAATCAAGTCCATGGCACATAACCGACAACCATGACTTCTATATCCTGAATTTGATCAAACATAACAATCAAGATGGATTAACAATTACTGATGATGGGAATGTGAAAGTTGGAAACAAAGAGGAAGGATCCTTAGTTGAAAATTAATGGCCTTGTTGGTACAAATGACACTTGGAGATCATCTCATGGTAGAATTTTGTAAGACCAACAGCTTAGTTGCAAATAACCTTTTTCAATTTAAATGGTGGCTATATTTATGAACCTCGTTCAATTGTATATGCAGAATCAAATTAACTACATCTTTTGGAAGAGATGATGGACATCCTCAATATTATCAGCCAATTTAAGACCAAGAGGCAATTGTGGAGCAAACATAGGGTTGCTATGGTTCGGAACGGACTCAACTTCAACAGCTACATTGAGTCAGTTACAGTTTTTTCATTAGGAAGTACTTAGTAAAAAACCAAACTTGCTGCAGAGAAGACAGGAAGAATTGATAACAGTGAGTGGAAGGGAAGTTAGGTGTGTGTAAGATTAGAATTGGGAGAATATGTAGTAATTCAAAAGTTTTATTTAACATATAAATAGATATAAGATATAAATAGATCTAAGGGTAGTTTTGATGTATATGTATATATGTGTTTATATCAGCCAGGACTTCAAAAAAGTTGGTGGGAAAATTCCCTTGTCTTCTCACTCCGCTTTTCCATGAACTTTTTCAAGTTCCCTCATAGTTTATACACTGTATCTCAGTTCCAAGGCTGAGTGAGGGAAGGAACAAAACATTGCTGTCAGCTTCTTGTAGCACAAAGTTCAGACATGCTCTGAGAATAGGGGGGGCATAGTTCAGCAGATAGGGGTGTTCAAATCAGCAAATCTGAGTCTTAAAAAAATTATCGTAATGGATTGCAACCCATTGATTAAATAGGAATTTCTGAGTCTATAATGGTATATATAAATAAGTGAGTAAGTGGGGAGAAGGCTAGGGCAGAAAAAGTGTAGAAAGAACGAGAACTAGAGAATCCTGTTGAGACATAAATTAAGAAGCCATGTCAACTCTGTGACTGGAAACATCGCTGAAAGTGTGAGAGTGGGCCCGGGGGGGAGGTTGAGCCCCAGGCCTTCCAGCCTCCCATACCTACTAGAGGAGGGACCTACTGTGCACACACTGACCAGGAGCCATGCTCATGGGCCCTTCCTGGCAAGTTCAAACCAGTTTTCCATTGGAGCGCAAACCTGTTCTCAGTGGCTCCAAGAAATAGCAACTTGTGAAAGGGACAAACCAGGAGGATTGAGCACCTTAGAGCTAAGTGAGGGGACTTTACTCAGGAGAAGAGAGTGGCTGCCCCAGTGGGCAGCCCCTGGAAGCCAATGGGAATCGTTTCCAACAAGGATGGAAGGCAGTCTGTATAGTTGAGTCTTTTGGAAAGTTTTGCATTCAAGAAGATCTGCAAAGGGAAGAGCAGTCAAGGGTGGTGTTACTGTTTTTAGCTGCGTGACATAGTAATTCAGTAAGATGGAGAAACTGGTGATACTGGAGCCAGAGGAACATTGCTGAGCAAAGGTTTTGAACAGGCATGAGGGCAGAACAGGCATGGGCTGTAGTTGGCAATGCAAATGTCTCACCCAGCAGGAACATGGATGCTGGTGGGCAGTCCCTGGTGTTCCTGTGTTTGCATGACTGATGCTGGAGATTTGGGAAGAGAAAAAGAGGGTATGAAATAGTAACTTAGGACAATAGGGGAGTGATGGACAAGGGACTGTTGTGTGGTAGCTGGTCAGCTATGCGGCCCTTTATCAGTGTATTTACATCTAGCCCTAAGTTGGGTGTGAGCAGAGTTGTTTGGGGGAAGGTGCTTGTGGGTATGTGAGAGAGAACATATTTGAGTGGGTATTCCGAAGACACGGTGATTGTGACTGACCTAGTAGGGCTGGCTGGAGGGCCCCGGGAAGTGAGCTTGATGGAAGGGCCATCTGAGATTAATGTCATCGTGAATTGTGACAGGCAGGATGAAGGGACTGAGGGAGAATGGCAGGGAACCCCGAGCACTACAGTGGGGGAGTGGACAGTGTGTTGGGGCTGTGTGGAGTCAGGGACATAGTAGGGACTGAGCAGTCTTTAGGAGCCAAAAGCAAGGAGCGCAGCTGCGGGCCGGGCCGACGGGGTGGGGTGGGGTAGGGGGAGGTTGACTTATGTTCACCATCACCCATGAGCCCCTATTCTCAGTACCGAATCCTTCCTTTAAAAGGTTGAGCAAGATATGTCAGACCGTTTCTTATTTGAGTTGCTGCTTCTCTGGAATTTTATTAGTAATTAATTGAAAGTACTGACTTCACCTTAACTTTCACTTTGGGTTTTGTATTCAACAGTGCAACTGGAGAATACCTCTAATATTATATTGTATGTCCACTTTTATAACCTATATAATTGTCCTGGCGTGGCACTGTATGATAAGCACTGGGCTGCTAACCACGAGGTCCACAGTTCAAATCCACCAACTGCTCCTTGAGTCTGAAACAATTGAGTGATGCTTACCAACAACAGTATGATTGGTGTGTGGGGACATCCGTGTCGGGCAGTTTGTGTTTAGTGGAGAGCCGGCACAGACATTGATGCTTCGTCTTCTCTCTCTTCTAGATTACGTACCGGTTACGGCACCTCCTTCGAGCAAGGTGTGATGCTTCGCCAGCAACCAACAACACCATCCAGTTTCACTGTGATCCTAGTTTTTGGGCTCAAAACATTATCAATTTAGGTAGGCTGTTGTGCACATTTTCTTAAAGTACCATGGTTTCTGGCACTTTTGATGTCTATCACCTGGCATTGAGTTGTGTTCCCATCGATTTCCCAAATGTGTCCATTGTCTTGATTTACAGGCATGTCATAATTGTGTCTAAGGTGAAAGTTTACACAGCAAATTATCATTGAAGAATTTTTATATAGATTTTATTCAGTGATAATTGGTTGCAGTTCTCACAGTGTGTCATCTTCTCATTCATTTCATTCCGGTTATACCATTTCCAGTGCTCTACTCTAGTCTCCCTTCCCCTGATCTTCTCAGTATTTCTTTAGAATACATTTTCACCATATGGTTACAGGCTGTAGATGAATGTTCAGAGTAGCTCATTTCTCACTGTTAACTTCCATGGAGTTGTGATTTTTGGTTTGGTTTTAGAATGTTTTATGTTAAATATTATTTCCCAGATTACTAATAGCTTGTATAATCTGTGCACCCACTCGTTCGGAGCCTAAGTGGTTCAGTTGCTTTATCTAGCTGAAGGACTACTCCTCCCTCCTCTCCCTACCCACTGTTAATTTGTCTAATAACCGATGGTTATATTTATTTTTTAGCATTCTAGTTAGAATGTGCTTCTGAGTCTGTTGCTCACTGGATTCTCACCAAGGGGGCAGGTGGTTTACAAATGGCCACTTTAGCTTTTTTGTTACATTATTGGCTGGATAACAACAATCTTAACTTATTGTTAAGTTAATCTTAACAGGGAAACTGTGACAAACAAAGATTAAAAGAGTTCCTTATAGACTGAGTTAGTACTCAGCTACCAAACAGACACACAGTTGGCAGGTCATATCCACCAGCCTCTCCACAGGAAAAAGATTTGATGTTCTGTTTCCATAAAGATTATTATTTGTTGTTGTATGTTGTCATAGTCAGTTTGAACTCATAGTGACCCTGTATAGGGTTTCCAAGGAATTGCTGGTGGGTTTGAACCGCCAAGCTTGTGATTAACAGTCCATTAGAAGTCTACCGCCACACCATAAAGATTATGGGTCTGCTCTGCTCTGTCCCTCTGGTCTCACGGGATCAGACTTGATTCCATAGCAGTGCATTTGTGTATCCAGCACAACCGGTAGTCCCTTTTATGGCTATTTTTAATTTTTAAGGCTTTTTGGACTTATTTTCTTTGCTACAGAATGAGCAGAGGTAGTTCTCTCTCGTCTTGTCCACATGCACCCACGTTTGTATTTAAGAATATGCTTACACACAGACAGTGCCATGGACTCACTCCAGCAGCCCAAATAGGACATCTGGGTGGAAAATGGTTGGGGTGTAGCATCAGAACTGGTCTTAACTTTATGGGGATAATGAGAATCCCCATGTGTAAAAGCTGACCCCCATGTGGTGGATAATCTGATACCTGCCGTTTCTCCCACAACACTCTAGGCTTTTGCTGAGTTCCAGAATCCATCACAGTGGCCATACTTAGAATGCACATACCAGCAGGAGGGCTCTGTCAGCTCCTTTCAGCTCTGTGGACTGTCACCACCCACGCTGCCACAGCCCCTTCCAGGCTTCTCTTGGTCTCCAGTGGTACCACTCTTGTGGGAGGAGGTCCTTGCTTTCTTGCCTTTTCTTCTTTCTGTGCCTGTCTGTTTTCTGTCTGTATCCACAATTTCCTGTGCATTTTAAGATAAAGCCCTCCCCACTAGGCCCCAGAACTGACATCCTTTCTTGATAGGCCACAGACATTTCATTTGTTTGGCAACCTAAAGTAACTTGATTTGCATAATCTATAGTCACTTCATTTGCATAATATATTGACCAATCTTTGCAAGATGTGAGGACCAGACAGAAAGAACCAAACTAAATCATTTATGGTGTACCCAGGAAATGTCAGCCAAACGGGAGCAAAGTAACAAACTCAAGGTGGACCACTCTAGGGCAAGGTCATTCCCAAGAGTTTAAGAAGAAAGTCTCTCTCAAGCGGTTTTTTCCAAGGAAGTAAAGCAAAAAGCCACATAAAGGAGCGTGTTTCCCATGCTGGTCAGCTGGTCAGCAGCTGTGGTGCAGTGTAATTAAGCTCATCTCAACTGTCAGTGCCCAGAGGCAGATGGGCTTATGTGTCCAGGGCCGCTGGGAAATGTTACAGCCAGGACATGGGTGATGTGCGGTTCTAGGTGACTCTTGGCGACTCTTGTCAAGGTATTACATTGTCTAACCTTCCTGCGCCATGGACTCTGTCTCTGTGAAAGACCATCCCCATACTCAATCTCACTAGGCACAGCAGGCCGACTGTTTAGGATGCAGGTGTTTACACGCTTTGCCTTCTGTTCAGAGTCAGTCTGGTGTTCAGAGGATGCGGAGTGAAGGCACAGGGACTTGAGAGATGACAAATTGCAGAAAGTAAAGAATCAGAACTATTTGGTGGGATCATTTTAGATCGTCAGTTTTGTGTGTTTACTTTAGATTTACAGTGGCAGTCCGTACAGAGCAGTCTGAGGCCCTCCTTTTCCCAGCCCCATGTCTGTGTGAGCCTTGACTTTGACTGTCTTCATCGGGTCTAACCTAAGCAGCAAATTCTGGCAAAGGGATGCTTTCAGGAGCATAA